GTTTTCCTACAAATCGGTTTATCGTAATGTGGAGATGGGGGGGGGGGGGGGGGGGTGTTGTGGTTTGGTGGGGGATGGGTGTGTCTTGAGGTTTAATTGTGGAGGGGTGTGTCTGGTGTTTAGGTAGGGGTGTTGTTGTTTGGTGGGGGAGGGGTGTGTCTTGTGGTTTGTAGTGGGAGGGGTGTGTCTTGTGGTTCGGTATGGAAAGGCAGTGGTTTGTAGTGGGAGGGGTGTGTCTTGTGGTTCGGTATGGAAAGGCAGTGGTTTGTAGTGGGAGGGGTGTGTCTTGTGGTTTGTAGTGGGAGGGGTGTGTCTTGTGGTTCGGTATGGAAAGGCAGTGGTTTGTAGTGGGAGGGGTGTGTCTTGTGGTTTGTAGTGGGAGGGGTGTGTCTTGTGGTTCGGTATGGAAAGGCAGTGGTTTGTAGTGGGAGGGGTGTGTCTTGTGGTTCGGTATGGAAAGGCAGTGGTTTGTAGTGGGAGGGGTGTGTCTTGTGGTTTGGACCATATAAAAAGAAATAATGATTCCAAATATTGACCAAATCATGTGCAAGCATATACTTGATCTACTTGCTAGTCCAGCCACGACATCTCAGCTACGCCAGCCACAAGGACCGTCTAAGCCAGTATTTGATTTTCTACTAATCGTTAGCCACGTACAGAAAGCCGCACCAAAACAGGACAATTAAAATGTATGTAAACATCTACATATCAGAGCAGTCTCTCGACTGTTTGATTAATACATCTCAACGACTAAAATAGAAACGCTGTGAAATTTTCATCATTATTTTCACTGTAAATTATACACATTCGGGATGATAATACATCTAAACACACCGTTTGGTTTTTTTCTTTTATATCTAAATTCTTGTTTTCATCCTCGCTATAAATCTCGCTCACATCTCAAACAGAATTATTTCCCTTCATTCTATAAACAGAAGTTTTCTCCCTTTAAATGTTTTAATAACCTACCCTGATTTAGCTAAAATTCGATTGTAAACGGGAAGTCGCTAGAATTTTATAATAGGCTCTATTTTTAAATACCAACCTGGAATGATTTTTTTTTGTCAGGAAAAAAAAAATACGTGGGATGTAAAATTATCAGTTGTTTGTTTTGAATTACTCTGATTTAAAAAAAAAAATTGTGGTTTTCTCCCTATCACCCCTTTCTCACATCCTATCGTTTTTTTTTTAAAAAGTTGTTTAGTTTCTTTAATTGATCTCCTGTGTCTTCATTGGTTAGAATCTGCGTGTGTACACATAAACTGATGACGTCATCTCGACAATAACGTGGGCTTCTGCCCTTGTTTCTCAATTGTTTTTTTAAAGGGATTTTTGTTGTTCGAGATTATTTTTTTCGTCTATAGTGTTTTAGTACAGAAATCTAGTATTTAGACCCAGTCAGGAAAAATGTACCACTGATATTTTTTTTTTAATTTCAAAACGTAAATAACACTAGATTTATGTATACATATTTTCTTGCCACCCTGACAGACGCATAACAAAGTCTAGCAAAGTAACATTTTACTACCTACCTACCAGACGTATGGTCCACGTATCTTATCATTTAGCGTCTAGTCTCGACGATTAACACTACGGGGGTGAGTCGCTAAGCTGCCAGTTGCTATGTCCACCCAGATATCGTGGCTGGAGTTATCACAAGCAAGCCGAGTCTCGATTACATCTTTATTTCATTTGCTTGTTTAAATAACAAAAAATACTTAGGGAGCAAAAATTAACTAAAATGCTTCTAGATCTACGTCAGAGGTGAACAAACCACGTTATCATAAAGTTGCTATTAACCATATGGGGTCATCCATAAATGACGTCACGCTTTTTTGGACGTTTTTTACCTCCGTCCTCCCCCTCAGTCACACGTCGTCACAATAAGTCAGACCCCCCCTAAAATGACGCCACACCTCAGCCTATACCCACCCCCCCCCCCCCCCTCAAAATTGCTGTTAAATTTTTCTTAAAACATCGATAATTTCCCAAAATCTTGTTAGTACTTTGTCAACAGAGTATTTTCATCAATTCCTATTACAATTTATTAAAACCGTTTTCTAAAACGCGTAATAACGGCTAAAACTCGTTTTCTAACATTGCTTTTTTATAATGCAAAGAAGTGACGTCACACCATCTGAACACCTCCCCCCCCCTCATCACACACCGTCACAAAATTACGGACCCCCCCTACCAGTGTGACGTCATTTATGGACGACCCCTATTTCAATTACAAAGAACGAGCCGGCCCGCGGCATAACATACGCCGCTATTTAGTTGTTTCTAATTTTCAATAATTCATAATTTGTGAATTCGACAGTACCAACGCTGACACTGAAAATATTTCTTTAAAACACTATAAGTAGTTCGTTAAGGACCATAACCCCCCCCCCCCCCTTCCTTTCCCCCCCCCCCCCCCCTACGTTTAAAATCGTTGGCTCTGCTTGTAAACATTTAGTCTAATTTAGAGTGAACACAGCTCACTAAAACCATGTAGGGGTGGGTAGGTAGGGAGAGCGTTTGCAGCTTGTTTTCTAACGGCTCGAAGAAGAGAATTATATATATAGATTGTGAAGTCACTGGAACCCACTTTCCGACAAGGCTTCTAATATCCAACTCTTAGGCCTATAATAACAACAACGAGCTGTGACGTCACACAAACAAACCACTCATAGCACGCCTTCTATTATCCTCATGTCTATTATAAAAACTGTTACGTAGATAGAGGCAGCCATTGTGTTGCAGACTTAAAGGCCGTGCATTTTTCTTCTTCCCACATTGTGCAGATTGTATTGTATCTTTTAGAAACACAATACGTGGTTGTTCTTTATAGACACCCTCAGAACATTTATTCTAAGCCCAAAGTTCCCTACACTGTGTAGATTGTAATGTATCGTTGAGAAACATAGATTCTAGATCTACTTGGTTGTTCTTTTGCATAGACATTCTCAAAACTGAGTCAAAACATTCACTCAATGCTTAATGCTTCCTTCACAGTTCGTGTACTGCAGCAGATTACAATGCTACTTTCATCACTTGACTAACTCCTATAGTTGATCTGTTTTAATGTAGTTTCAAATCACTATTCCAGTAAACAGATCTAGATCTATCACCTACTCAGGTTCTAGTAGATAGATCTATCACCTACTCAGGTTCTAGTAGATAGATCTATCACCTACTCAGGTTCTAGTAGATAGATCTATCACCTACTCAGGTTCTAGTAGATAGATCTATCACCTACTCAGGTTCCATTAGATAGATCTATCACCTACTCAGGTTCTAGTAGATAGATCTATCACCTACTCAGGTTCTAGTAGATAGATCTATCACCTACTCAGGTTCTAGTAGATAGATCTATCACCTACTCAGGTTCTAGTAGATAGATCTATCACCTACTCAGGTTCTAGTAGATAGATCTATCACCTACTCAGGTTCTAGTAGATAGATCTATCACCTACTCAGGTTCTAGTAGATAGATCTATCACCTACTCAGGTTCCATTAGATAGATATATCACCTACTCAGTTTTAAATTTTAAGAAAAGCACCAAGTAGTATTTGTTTATTTTATGTTTACCAGCATTAACATTTGTTCTCAGTTTTATCATAATCAAACATTCTTGTTTGCTAATAACAATGTTATACTGATTGATAAAGAATTGATAAAGGCTAAGATGCCGACATGATTGCTATTGTGTGTTGTGCCCAGTAAATGATTCCAAGCCAGCCCTGACATGGAAATAACCTGGGAGGCTTAGAGTCTTCCAGGCAGCAATCATTGAAATGTTGGCAGCCTGAGAAATCAATACATCCCCTGACCTTCACCCACCCACCCTCACACACTGACCACTCCTCTAGTCCACCACCTTCTCCCACCATCACTGCCCATTCACCAATGCCAGCTCTGTCCGCCTTAATCACGTTTTTTTTCCTTGATTTCTTATTCCATTTCCTCCTTGAAGGCACATGCTAAATTTGTTCTTATTTTTCTCTATTGTATTGTCTACGTTATTCTTCCATGTAGTTTGCAAAAAATTTCTGTCCAACGAGTTACCCCCCCCCCCCTTTCTGTTGCTTGTACTTTTCACATATCCTTGCTATCATATTATTGCTGTATTGCTTTTCCTACTATCTTAAAGTTCTTCTAGTTTCTAGCTAGTCCATGTACGCTTATCATAAATACACACTTGGTCACCCTCAAGTTGTTTTGTTCTTATAATGAAGTTAGTATTTTTCAAGAATTGTCCATTCATTCTTTTTCTCTTCTCTCCCCCCGTCCCCATCCTCTATATTTATTTTGTTATGACTAGACTGGATTGTTTATACACTGTCCATAAACCATGCACCTGCCTAAGGGAGAAAATATGCTGTGGTGGTTTTCCTAGAAATGGATTATCTGTCTTGCCCTTTGGTCAGCCTAGTCCTTCTAATTCTGATGGGACCAGTAAACCAATTCACATACAACAAACAAAACAACAACAACAATCCCTCATTAGACAGACAGTGAGGCAGCATATCAAATGTCAATGAGAAATCTCCAGTCTACCCCACCCACTCCTTCCTGTGTATACTTGTGAAATCCAATATCCCTTGTATGTTGGTGCTTCATCAGCATAAACTAGTCATTCTGTTTTTAAAATGTCATGGTAAAAACAGCTCCGTACAGTTAGCACATATATTTTTTTTTAAATTCACTTCTTAATGTCATTTCACCTTCTGTGTTTCTAAAAATATCTTTTATACAACTCTATAATAACAGGTCTTATTTTTGTGAACTATTTTAACTCTACTATGGGGAAATGCATTATGGGATTGTCAGGCAATTTTTAAAAACTTTTTTTCAAGAACATTTTTTGGGTACAAAAAAAAAAGTTGTTTTAGAATAATTTCCTTTTATAAAAGATTTTTTTTTCTATTGTTAAAAATGATTTTTTTTTTAAATTTAGAAGTTGTCCCGGGTTTATTGCATGGCAAGTCTAATTGTAGTTCTCTATTGTTGCAGCTCAAATAGAAGTGATCCCTTGTAAAGTGTGTGGGGACAAATCCTCAGGTGTTCACTATGGGGTTATAACATGTGAGGGCTGCAAGGTAAGGCATCTTTTTTACTTTACTCACTACATGTTAAGGCACATTTTTTTTGTACTTATCTTTACTTAATACAAGGTGAGACAACTTTTCAAGATGATGTAGTTGATTTGTAAAGCTAAAATTACCAAAGGTTTGATTTCTGGTTAAAATCTGTAGATTTTATCTGAGTTAGCTCAGCTATTATTGAGCAGTAATTAAACACTGCTTGACATTACTAATATACATTAAACACATTATGTCACAAAATTGCTGATATTAAAGTTAATAAAGAATCTTTTTTGCTTCTCCTATAAGAACTTAAGCACACAAATTGTGGTGTATTTCTCAAACGTCGAATTTCATGTTTAAGATCTTCATGATATCTTTTCCTTTATTACGTTTCAAAAAGTAAAAGAATTTTTTTTTGTTTCAGGGTTTTTTCCGCCGGAGTCAGTCAGGTCCAGTGAACTACCAATGTCCAAGGAACAAAAACTGTGTGATAGACAGGGTCAACAGGAACCGCTGCCAGTATTGCAGGCTGCAGAAGTGTATGGCCTTGGGGATGTCCAGGGATGGTCAGTGGTCATCATTACTTAATATGTCTAGGTCCTTCCAGAATTGCTTAAGTCACACTTAGGGGAGTTCATATATGAGTTCATATATGATTTCATATATGAATTATGTAGTTCACACATTATTCTATATTATGGCGCAGAAATTGAAATCATCAATGTAGAAAAATCTAGAAAAATGGGTTTCCCTTTTAGACAAAACAAAAATTACTTATTTTCTCTACTTTTTTAAAAAAGATTACTCACAACATGAAATAAACCGGGAGTGATCTCCCCTAAACTTTCTCGAATATTCTTATATAAAACAACAGGGGATGGGAACTCGGGATATAGTTATGATTTTTAATCCATTTTAAATACTTACACTTTTTAAGATAAAATAGAATCTCATAGAAAAAAATATTGCACACCAAGCGAACGCCGAATAAAGATGTTCATAATGGTGCGCAATATTATTAGTACTTTATAAATTTAGATGCGATTTTGAGAAATCGGAAATAGCGTAAATTAGTACTTCCCGTCAACGGAAATTACTCAAAATTTGACAGAACAAAGAGAATTAGATTTTTTACTTACAAGTGAAATTTCATTTATCTATCTGAAATAGTACTCAAGTTATAGGCTTTTGAAGAATTCAAAGTAGAAAAATTACCACTTCCGGTTATCGGAAACCGCTCAAAAGTTGATACGGATCTACGATTTTGATAAAATACTTATATATGAAATTTCATCAACCTAGCTGTAACGGTACTCAAGTTATCACACACACACAGACACACACACACACAGACATACGGACAAGATTGCAAAATTATGTTTTTTCCGTATCAGTGAGGTGTAAAACGTCGAGATTTGTTTACAAATCTCGCGAATTTTTTTTTTTGCACGATTACAATACTTTCTCTATACTACGTATATACGAGAAAGTAAAAATGACTTAAGAGTGGAGTAACTGTGACAATATTTAAGTAGTACATGTTAAAGAAATGTGTAGATAATAGACATTGTTTCAGATTAAAACTATTGTTTTCTTTTCATTTAAAAGTTAGCATATTATAATTAACTTTGAAATTATGTTCCTGCATATTCTCTCTTATTGTGTATGGGTGGGATAGTATACTAAATCAAAAGTCCATAGTTTGATTCTGGGCTTAAGTCTACCCAGCTCTGATAGATATCTGTGGAAAGTAAACATGACTGTACAGAATCAATCCAGCTATCTTTTCATATTCCAAGGTCACGAACAGGTGGACTTAACTTCATCTGCCCTACTGACCATCTGATCCAACAAAAGAGTTTTATAACTATTCCTTACCCCCTTTTCATATTCTGAGTTTACGAATAGGTGAACTGTACTTCATCTGTCCTACTGACCATCTGATCCAAGAAATGTGTTTTTTAACTGTTGTTTACCTCCTCAGCTGTCAAGTTTGGTCGCATGTCAAAGAAACAAAGAGAGAGGGTGGAGGATGAGGCCAATATGGTCAAACAGAGCAGATTAAATGGGTAAGGGATTCAGTCTTACAGGTTGGGCTTAAATTTGTTCTAAAATTGTTCATCTTTTGAGTAACTGTATTACTGTAAACTTTTCTCTTGTGGTAAAGTTTATTCTTGTTGTAAACTCTACCCTACAAGTACTTATGATATTTTAATTATACAAATATTCTGTAGTATAAAATTTTTTTTACAAAAATTTAAGTAACCTTTAACAAAATTTTTAATAATGATTTGTGTAATAAATTAGTCATTAGAAAATATTTGAAAATGCTGAATATTGATAATGCAATTAGTCCTTTTTAAAAAAATCTAAATAGAATACTTCTTTTATTTACAAAAAAAAATGATATGCCTATATAATTATATGAAGTGTTATTTAATAAATGCTATTTGTACAAGATTAATACATTACAGGTTTAAAATTCTGCCATATAATTAATAATATTGGTTTAAAGCACTGACATTTTGAACCCATCCACAGGACGATCCTACCAGGACAATTCAACAGCTACCAGCCCAATGGCTACAACAACTTTCCACAACAGCAATTACCACAACAGCAGCAGCAGCAACAACAACAGCAGCAGCCCCAACAGCAACAACCACAGACAGAGTTCATCAGCGAGGGCCAGATCTACTCACCCACATCCAATATACCAACAGCACCTCATCCTGTCCTGCTCACACGGGCCATCGATGTCAACCCAGGTAGGTTTTTGAACGTTATGTAGGATGTAGGTTTTTGATGCATGTTAGGTAGGTTTATACGGCATCTGATGTAGGTTTATACTGCAGGTTAGGTAGGTTTTTTATGCATGTTAGGTAGGTTTATACGGCATGTTAAGTAGGTTGATATGGCACCTTGGGTAGGTTTATATGACATCTTAGGTTGGTTTATAGCAGGGGTCTCCAAACTTTTCAGTCAGAGTGCCGCATTAATTATCAAATTTCAGTTCGGGGGCCAGTTTCTTCCAGGCATGTCTTTGATTTTCTTGGGCAAAGCTCCTCAGCCATCACCAACAAACGTTTTTTTCTGTGCACAAAAAGATCTCCACGGGCTGGATGATAGGACATCGTGGGCCGCATCCGGCCCGCGGGCCGTAGTTTGGAGACCCCTGGTTTATAGGACACCTTGGGTAGGTTTATACAGGACCGTGGGTAGGTTTATGTGGTAGCTTGGGTAGGTTTATATGGCACCTTGGGTAGGTTTATACTGGGGTAGGTTTAAACTGCTGTTAGGTTTATATGGCACCTTAGATAGGTCTTCTTTACAGAACATTAGGTAGGTTTATATACCACCATAGCTAGGTTTATGTGTTTGTGGGGGGGGGGGGGAGTAGTCTGCAAAACTTTAAGTGTATGTGACAACTAAGCCACCTCAGGTTCGCACAGGTAAGTACATAGGGGTAGGTTCTTGTCACAGGTAAAGTTTGAGCTGGTATAAATTATTAACAATAAGTCATGACTAGAGTGTGTGCTAAAATATGTAAGCAAATGATGTAATCAGGTAGTCATATGTTAACCTTTCGCTTAATTAGATGAAAGGCTTGCACCTTGAACTCCAGGTGAAGGATTGTTATGTCATGGTGTTTATAAATGTCTTGTCTCCTACCTAGGTAAACATGTTCATTGTCATGGCTTTACCTGACAGCATTAATTCAACTTTTTTTTATTCACATCAAACGTATTAGTCTCAACTTAACGTATTAGTTTCAGCTTTGTGGTCACCTTTTCTTTGTTTATAATTTTTTCTTCTTAGTCATTTTGAGGAAAGCCATTTAAATTATCTTTTCTTTTACATATTTTCCCTGACATCAATTTTGAGAAAGCCATTTAAATTATCTTTTCTTTTACATAATTTCACTGAAGTCCCTCTGAGAAAGCCATTTTAATTATTTTCTCTACTTTCAGTAAATTTGGGTAAAGCCATAACAGAAGCTCATTTGCGGACATGCTTGTACAGTAACGAACAGATTGACCACTTAAAACACCAGCACCTGCCACAGGAGCAGGTTGACCTGTACAAGAGACTGGTAATTGTTTTATTATCTGCTGATTACCTAGTTGGGTTGAGTTAAACAAGTAACTGTTTTAATATCTGCTGATTATAATCTATCATGGCAGTTAGTACCTAGCTGGGTTGAGTTTGTGTTAAAACTGTAATCAACTCAATCAGCTTTAAAGAGAGGGGCAGGAAAAGTTAAAAGAAATCTGTAACATCCAATAACAACTTCAGTAAAAATTTCATGAAAGATTAGTCTCCTTGTACTCAATTCAAAATGCTTGCTATGTATTAACTATACCATGTTTGACATTAACATTTCTTTGCTGATTTAGAAATGATAAAAATTAAAATAACCTTTGTACCATAAAACTCAGAAGTCAAAGTGGAAAAAGGTTACATTAGAGAATAAAAAATTCGGACACACTAACCATACACTTGGAGAAGTTGTCCTTTTCATGACAAATATATCTCTGTGTTCTTAATCTTTAGGGGAATGAGCAAGTATATTTTACATACATCAACAGAACAACATCAATGGAAATTGTTTTTATTTCTAGAAACTAATCTGTTCCCGAATTTACTTATTTATATATTTATATTATTGAAATGTATATTTATGTATACAGCATTTATGAAACTGAAACTTAATCTCTACAGCATTTATCAAACTGAAACTTAATTACTACAGCATTTATCAAACTGAAACTTAATTACTACAGCATTTATCAAACTGAAACTTAATTACTACAGCATTTATCAAACTGAAACTTAATTACTACAGCATTTATCAAACTGAAACTTAATTACTACAGCATTTATCAAACTGAAACTTAATCACTACAGCATTTATCAAACTGAAACTTAATTACTACAGCATTTATCAAACTGAAACTTAATTACTACAGCATTTATCAAACTGAAACTTAATTACTACAGCATTTATCAAACTGAAACTTAATCACTACAGCATTTATCAAACTGAAACTTAATCACTACAGCATTTATCAAACTGAAACTTAATTACTACAGCATTTATCAAACTGAAACTTAATTACTACAGCATTTATCAAACTGAAACTTAATCACTACAGCATTTATCAAACTGAAATCTAATTTAATTTAATTACTACAGCATTTATCAAACTGAAATTTAATCTAATTTAATTTAATTACTACAGTATTTATCAAACCTAATCACTATTGACTGTTGTGTTGACAGACACATCGCCAGCTGTGGGTTGAGATAGCGGAGAAGATAACATTAGCCGTGCAGCAGATCATAGAGTTTGCCAAGATGATCCCTGGCTTCATGGACCTGTCCCAGGATGATCAGATCATGCTGCTTAAAGCAGGTGAGGCCCAGCTGTTTGGACTGTCCTTACTGGTAGATGACCATAGGTCAGCCTGTGCCTTGGGGGCAGCTGGATCATTCATATCTGATGATGGTCATTTAGTCCATAAGACAGCTGTCAATTACTTTATTTTTTAACCTGAGATGGTTCTACAGAATGTAAATAATTTAATTTAATATTTGATCCTTAAATTTAATGCTTTTTTTTACCCAACAATGTACACTTATAATTTTAATTGGCCTCATATTAACAAACAACTTTAGCCATACATTAGCTAGATTTTAATTTATATAAATTAATAATCAATAAATACTGCATTTAGATTTTGAAGAAAAGAAAATTAAAGTATAGCATTTTTTGCTAACGCTGCATAATCATTTTAAAAATAATTGTGTGTTATCTTTTTTCCTGAAAGCCAACACACACGTTGAATGTATTTTCACCCAACAATTTGTGTTTCAGGGAGTTTTGAGCTAGCCTTGATGCAGCTGTGTCGTGTGTTTGATGCTGAAACCAATAGAGTTGTTTTTGGGAACATGTTCCTGCCATTAGAAGCATTTGCCACCTTAAGTGAGTTGTTACATTGTAACAGTCTATCTGGGTCTGTGTTTATATCTGGTCTATTTATTGTGTTTATATCAGGTGTATCAACTGTTTATATCAAGTATATTAACCGTTTATAACAAGTATATAAACTGTTTATATCAAGTATAATAATATTAACTGTTTATATCAAGTATATTAACTGTGTTTATGTCAATTGTACAAATTGTTTAAATCATGTTTGTTAAATTTGGTCAATACAGTATCCTCATATGCTGGTTACAATTGTTTCACATGTAGTCTAAAAGTATAGCATTTGTTCTGATCAAGTAAAACATGTGCATAACATGAACACTTGATGCACATTTGGGAAGCATGCATAATTAATTTGTAGTGTAAGAAGAAATAAGATTTTGTCTTTAATAGCTTTAATAAATCAACAATGATAATGTGAAAGTTCTTAAAAGAAAATACAAAACCGATTAGAAACTATATTGACGATTACTTACTGCGTGTCTTTAAACAATTATGATGACTTGAAACCATAATTTTAAAAAAAAACTATGTTTTTAAATATTTTTTTATTACCACCTTGTGTAATGCAGCAATGTTTTTCTCATGCAATGAAGTGTTTCTATATGGGAAAATACTAAAATTGTATAACTTTTGTTACGGCTCAACGCATCTTGGAACTGATTTAGCCTTGCATCTTTGTTACTTCAAGTTTTAAAACAAAAAGTGTATCAGACAACTGTTTAAGTGTAGGTGTAATTCTTGTATTTAACATGTGTATTTGTTTCAGTGTTTTCTAACAACTTTTTTATTATCTCTTGACCCAGCTGATGAAGAGTTCCATCTGATGACGGCCATCTTTGAATTTGTTAAAAACATCCAGTTACTTAACATCACAGAGAGTGAAATGGCCATGTTAAGTGCCCTCATCCTCATTAGTTCAGGTACTCCCACAGGTTTTTTTTTTAAATTTGTTTTTACCACATTATAAAAAAAATGGTATAGAATGCTCACATTATTGATATGACATTTGTGGCCCATTCTGTTCATTTTCTTTTTGTGATTGTCTCATCATCCCAGTCTTTACCTGCCTAAACTTGCTTAGTGTGTTGCTGTCTCATTGTAATACATGTGCTAGTCATTACCTGAACCTTGTCTTAGGCATCACATTCTGTACAATAACACCTCTCTATCACACTTGTAATATGAATTATAGTAATAGGTGGATGTGCAAAAAAAAACAACTTTACTTTTATGTTTGCTAGTATGAAATACCATTGCCCTGTATAGACTCCTGAATTTAAAAAAATACCTCTTCAAACCTTATGATCCATTGGGCAGGTGAAGCAGAGTTCACCTGTTTTAGTGACCTTAGAACATGAAGGGATAGTGTGTTCAGCACTATGCCCAACTGCATTTACCTAACCTGAGTCAGGTACCCATCAGCACTGGTTGGACTCAAAGGACATTATATAAATTTGGGGATCCCAACTCTTAACTTTCGGATGAACAGTCGAAGACTCTACTACTCCACCACACTGGCCCCGTGTTAACTCCACCTTGCCCTAAGCCCAACCCTTACAGTAATATTAGCAGAAATAAAAACATGTTGCAATATGGATGCAATGGATAAACTTCACCGTATTAAAATGTCCTAAAGTATTTTTTGTTTCTCTCCGTCAGATCGCCCAGGCGTGAAAGAAGTGAGTGAAATTCAACAGTTACACGACCGCATCCTGACGGCGCTCAAGCTTGAGATGGGGGTCAACCACGCCGGGGACGAGCACATCCTCAAGAGATTCGTCGAGCAGGCCGGGGTCCTGAGGTCACTCAGCGCCAGGCACATCCGCGTCCTCAACGCCTTCAAGGAGGAGGCGCCGGATATTGATTTTCCAGCACTCCACAAGGAGCTGTTCTCTATAGAAACTGAGGCTGTTGTGTCAAACATGTAAACAAACACTGGGAATGGTGTTTGATCATGAACCACACCCCCAACTGTGTTTGTTTGGAGACAGGAAGTTACCCTTGTGGTGATAACAACAGTGAACTGTCACCATGGTAACGTGGGACTGTCGCCGTGGTAACGACATTACAGAGATGCTTATGGACATGAGGACATAAAAGTATTTTTACAAGATATTCATTCATACAATACAATGTGGCAGCTGTTTTTCTTTCATCTTTCAAGGTGTGTTTGAAGAGTGTTTCGTTTAATGCTACCTACCCCGTTGGTTTAGTGCTACCTGGTTTAGTGCTACCTACCCCATTGGTTTAGTGCTACCCACCCCATTGGTTTATTGCTACCTGGTTTAGTGCTACCTACCCCATTGGTTTAGTGCTACCTGGTTTAGTGCTACCCACCCCATTGGTTTAGTGCTACCCACCCCATTGGTTTAGTGCTACCTACCCCATTGGTTTAGTGCTACCCACCCCATTGGTTTAGTGCTACCCCAGGTAGCCACAGCTGTAGCAGGACAAGTGTAGCCCTTACATTGACGTGCGCCGTGTTGATTGTGATATAACCTTAATGTTGTCATGTGATCCCAGAATTCTGCAGCTAGTGTAACCGTGGTAACCAGACAGCCTTGACCTCCATGTCATGGTTGTTCAGGTTCATTTTGCAATGTCAAAAACTCCATGAAATTTCAAGTTAATTTTAAAACAACTTTGTTTTGATTTAATAAAAATTGATTTCTGCATAATTAAGTTATGCTTATCCACAAATTATCTAAATGATTTTACTTTAAAGGGTTGCACTGAATATCTGAGATAAGAATCTTATTTCTAGTGGTTAAATTTTGTTAAGTGTGTTACATATTACATGAAATTATAAATTTTTTAAAAGTTGAATATAGAAAACATGAAATGTGTACAAATATATACTCTGTGCCTAATGTTATAATGAAATGTCACTCATTAGATCTCTCTTTTTGTTTTCTCACAATAATTCCTAGTTTTTAAAATACAATAAAAAGTCAACACCCCAAAGATGTGAAACAATTAAAAACAAAATGTGTTTACATTTCGTCAATGGCCAGTTCTTTACATGAATGAGATAACATAAATGTAAAGTTTTGTGTTTACAAATGCATTTTTTCCACTGTGGTTTTGATGTTTTAAATACATAATAAATTTTTTTTAGAGTGATACCTCTATCCCTCAAGGATATTTTAAGTGCTTGATAACCAGTTTTTTAAGATGAAAAAGTTGTATCTGTTTAAAGCCTGATTCATTGAGACAATACACCCTTCCTATCCCTCCCTGCACATTTTCTATTCCATAATAATTTACAGAAAACTGAAGTTTGCTTTCTTAAGATTGTGATTGTGTCCACAGAACCTAACCAAAACAATAAATCTGTCAAGTTGTGCAGGATATTAGCTATAGAGGCTAGTTAACTGCAGCAAGTTTAAGTTAAGACAAACCTTAGCCCAAACCTACAAGGGTAATGCAGGCTATGCTTATATTGTTAAGCCCAAGTGTATGCATAAAGAGATTAAATTTACCAAACTGAAGTATTAAAATCACCAAGTGTCATAATCTTTAAGGCTACCTCACATGTTATTATTAAATAAAAAGATCTGCACACTAAATGTTTGGGGGAAAAACTATGTAAAAATATTTTTTGTTTTGGTTTTTAAAAAAATGTTACTTTTTAATTACTTATCCACAAGGTTTTTTTTGTGTGTCTCTGGCTCTGTCTACTATCATTAGAATTTTATCCCTGTCTGATAGTTGTATTATAAACTAAAAAAATATTAGCTAACCAACTTGTGGTTTAGACCCTGAGTATCTTGAGTCCAGTCTTTACTAATGGTGGCTTTGGATGAACTGTAATATAAGCAATAAGACAGTTAATTGTTTGTCATGTTGTACCAAACATTTATTCACAGAATTCTTTTCACCCCACCATACAATATTAGCTGAGAAAATGTGCAGATGTTGCTGTCTAGTTATGTCATCTGGCATAGTGTCATGTGATTAGACTGACCAGCCCTATAATCACAGTGTCTAGTGTCATGTTTAAAGAGAACTGCCAAAAGATTGTGTACCAATACATGAAAAGTTATTCAGGCTTATAAAAAAAAAGTTTTAAATAATTTTGTTTAGAGTATTGAGACAATTAGAAAAACTAGCCCCTTTCAGATGAGATAACTTAAATTATTCTTTTTAAAAAAATTTGAAATATAGCCTGGATGACAAAGTAGTAGACATCAGTTGATAATGGAATTAAGAAAAAAAAAAGAGCTCTTTATCATAACTTGACAACTCAAAATGAATTTTCTGATTAGATGATGGTTTTTCCCCTTAACAATATTTGTTTATAAAAAAATCTACCATTATTCAAACTAGATACTGAAACAACTCTGTTGCAATGCATCATTGTAGAAGTCAAATATAAATTTTTCCTCCCCTAAAAAATTATGCAGTGCTTGTTCTTTAAACAAGATAGCTGTCCTGCATGTATTGTATTGTTTGTCACATATTTAAGATGTGAAGCTTGTCTTGTGGATGTACTTACCACAAGTTGTAAGACTAGAATCAGGTTGATATTGTTACATTTATTATGCTTTAAACACTTTGTTGTAAGATAATTTTAAGTCTAAAGAAATGGCTTTTTAAAAAGAAGTTTATGTGTAAATAAATGAGTGTAAAGTTTTAAATTGTAAACAAATGCTGTGAGTGGTTGAAGCACAATTTAGGTAAAATATGTGAGTGGCTGGATTAGGGTGTAAACAAATACCATAAATGGATTGACTAGAATGTAAAAAAAAAAATGCTGTGAATGGTTGAATTAAAATGTCAACATAGCTGTGAATGGCTGGATTAAAATGTAAACAAATGCCATGAATGGCTGGAGTAGAATACAAACAAGTGCTGTGAATGGTTGAATCAGAATGTCAACAAATGCTGTGAATGGCTGAATGGTTTGTTTCCACTCATGATCTGTTATTTTGTTTTCCTGGACACAATGTGTCTGCTCACCTTAGAAAAAGAAAAATATTGTTGCCATAATGTATTCTAATGATGTACACTTCAAAGACTTGACTACATTTTATTTGCATTGTTGATTCAAAGTGAATGCTTGCCTCAATATACTGTATGGTTTCACCATTGATATTCAGATTAGTTCAGTTATATTTTTTTTTCCCCAATCTTTAAAGATTTCAGTTTTTATAAATGATGATATATATACATATAACCCATTGGCATTAACTCATGTTTGTATTTCCCTTGAATAGAAATCACACCTTGATATTGGAATTGTATATTTTGTTTTTGTGTGTGACTTTCTTTTTTTTTTTTTCTACCTTATACAGATTTTTTCATCACATGTTATATAGTTATCAACGGCTTGAAAGGACCTGTCATTGTTACCTATCCCCTGGTCACTCGTACCACCCATTTCTTTTCAAACTGCTACAACTGCAAAGCTTCATAGTTCATATGTTTGTGTACATTTGTTTTAAGGTTTTTGAATGTCTTGCATGGAGATGAATTAATACTAATAGTTTCGCTGTCTGTGTATCTGACAAGAACGCTCTGTCTGACAAGAACGCTCTAGAGAAAACACAAGCAATTTAAAAACATGCACAGTAATTCGAAAAACGAAATATGACGTCGACACATTTAGCGTAGAGTAGAACATAATCTCAAACCAGAGAGTGCACACAGTAATGTAATGACGTCATTGATTATCGCGTAAACATTGAAAAAAAGGAAATGTCTAATCTAAATGGTTTGCGTGAAGAGTTTCTTGCATACAATTCTTCGGGTAGGGGCGAAGCCCCACCCCCCGCGTAAGAACGTCTGAGCCCCCCCCCCCTCCCCAACTCAAAAGAAATTTCCTCATCGATACTCTATAATAAAATTACAGCCTAATTAATGTGTCTAATCTAAAAAGTGGTTTTCTTGCAATGGGACGGTAGACATGTTTTTTTTGGGGTGGGGGTGGGGGGGGGGGGTTGGGGGGGGGGGGGGTTGGGGGGGGGGTGGAGGGGTGGGGGGGGTGTGTAGGGGTGGGGTGGGGGGTGGTGTGTGGGGGTTGGGTTGGTTTCAGTGTTTCTTTCAGACTTTTTCCTCCCCGGAGAGGGGTGGGGGGTACTTGAAATTTTCGGGGGGCGGGGGTAGAATTTTCTGGGAGGGGGCGGACACTGGAAAAAGTATATAATTATATTTCGTTGAATGGGACGGTAGACATGTTTTTTTGGGGGGTGGGGGGTGGTGGAGGTGTGGGGGGAGTGTGTGTGGTGTGGGGGGTGGGGGGGATGGGGGGTGGTGTGTGGGGGGGGGGGGGGTGGGGGGTGGTGTGTGGGGGGGGTGGGTTGGTTTCAGTGTTTCTTTCAGACTTTTTCCTCCCCGGAGAGGGGTGGGGGTACTTGAAATTTTCGGGGGCGGGGGTAGAATATTCTGGGAGGGGGCGGACACTGGAAAAAGTATATAATTATATTTCGTTGAATGGGACGGTAGACATGTTTTTTTTGGGGGGGTGGGGGGTGGGGGGGCGGTGTGTGGAGGGGGTGGTGTGTGGGGGTGAGGGGTTGGGGTGGGGGTGGTGTGTGGTGGGGGGTGGGGGTGGTGTGTGGGGGTGGGGGGGTGGGGTGGGGGTGGTGTGTGGGGGGTGGGTTGGTTTTAGTTTAGAGAAAAGAGACAGCACTATCAGCCTAGCGCCCGTTGTACCCTTCCTCAACGGGCCATTTATCTAGTTGTATGAGAGTTGTCTTGGCTTCAGCACACAGTAATTGTAAATATGCTTTCAGCCCTTGTTTTTTTATTCACTGTGGCAGGTAGTGGGTACTGTGTGGAGACTTAAGTGTCTACATGATCAGAGAAAACATAATACACACCAATCTGCATCTTTGACTGTAATCTTTCATTTTTTTTTTATTGCCATAATAACAGCAGGATGGATTTTGTCATGCTGGGGGAATATATGGACTTGGTTGCCATGGAAATTATTTGTTTGAGCCTGTACAGTGTTGTCATAGCAACCACTATTTTAAGGAGAAAAAAAGTGTACTACTGTATATAATTGTTTCATTGATTTGTTGCTGGTTTTTGTTCATGTGTGTTGTTTGTGGTCATCTTTTATTGTAAATCCCATCCTTCAGTCATAGTTTTGTTTCGTATCTTTTTATCTGATAAGCAATGTTAAATTTTTTTTATTTATTAAAAATTAATTTTTTTTTTTTTATGAATCAATTATTTCAGTTTGTTTTTCAATGTTATCAATTTTTAAATTGAAATATTTTTTTTTCTTAAAAGATTTTGTAAGTGGGTCTTAAGGCTAATTTTTTTTTTTAAATCAATGTGTGCGGGATCTGCAGCTAAAATACCTGTTTTCAACCTTTTTTGTTTATTTTCCTCTAACCATGTTTGACTTGCTAGAAGTTTGTTGATTACAGTATCAACTCATGATGACCATGTATTCTGATTACAACTACATTTATTATTGAAGACTTCTCTAAACTCAGGGCCCAGACTCTCCACTGTAATGGGAGACAATTGGTATATTTTTTATCTGCCTTGTTATCTTTCACCCATTCAAATTTTACATCACATTTTTCACCTTAGCCTCATTTTTAATTATCTCATCCATTCCCTGTTTAATTTTTCTCAGTCGAGATACACACCCTGTGTTGATGGTAATGTCCATTGACGTCAATTGGTTCACCCTGTTTTCTCCATCAAGTCTTTTTTATTTCACACTAGGCATTGTTTTAATGTGTTCATTAGGTTTATTATTTTTTTTCCCTTCTCCTTCTACTTGGTATTATATGGACCAAAAGTTTGCTAAACCTTAATCACTGAAGTATCAATTTACTTTAAGAAACTAATCTCCCAATGTATGAGCAGGTATATACATATGTATGATACATACCTTTTGTGAATTATAAATAAATCTATAACACTTATTCCTGACTTCTGTATCATTTTTTTTAAAACTATGACATTGCTGTAAACTATTGACTTGTTATTTTTTTAAATGGACTTGCATTCACTAGATCTAGCTCAATTCACAACACCTTGTTCATTCAATCTTCAAGTTGAGGGAAATTCACTTGTCGCAGTATCACATATAATAATTTTCTTTCACAAAAGAACTGAATTTATGTTTAAAAATAGAATCTATATGCTAAAAATAATGAAGTAAACATTGTCCCAGTTTTAGCTTAAGTAATTAGTTTCTCGTTAAGCCTTTGTTATCGTCTATTGGTTCTTTGTAGAAGTGTGTGTGTGTTCATTGGACGATTAGTCACAGAAAATACAATCATAGACAAGTTTGTGTACATTTTTACTCGACTTCTACTCTAATTGTTTACAGATGGTGTCAGATACTAAACCTGTTTACATTACTTCACAAAGGGCGCCAACTTTTCAGAATAATTTTTTGCCTTCCTGATTTTCTCCATTGAGTTCACTTTATTTCAACTTATTACAATTGAAAAATGATGGATTCATCACTTCATTACTATCAATCAAATAAAATCACAGACTGCATATAAATGATATTTTGTTTTCGCTTTTTAAAATCTAGTTTAAAGAATAGAACATGCAATTTTATATAATTACCTGTCTAGTTTAATTCGTTGCTTCATAGTTTATTCATTGGATGTAAGCTAGTATTCATAACTTTGTTAATCACCTTTAAACATTCTTAAATTTAAAAGTAAAATTTAAATAAGTTTGTTCAAGGCACTAAATGGGCATCCTGTGTGGTCTAGACACTAGGCCATCAACATCCCAAGCTAGAGGCTCATGATCAAACCCTGCTGGGACCAACAGAAATGCTGCCCCTTCCCCCCCCCCCCCCCCCCCCCAATCCAAGCACCCGGAACCCCCATCACCCCCCCCCCCCCCTCCCAAGACAATGGAAAGATTATCCCACCTCCCACAAAATCAAGAAATAAACCAAACACATAACAAAGTAACAAATAAATCTGATTTAAATTTAAGATTTTTTTTTATTGTATTTCCTTTTAAATCAATGCAATTATTTGAAATCATTTTTCTAATACACAGATATTATTGGGATTCTAGAGAACAGAAAGCAAACACCAGGGGACATAACTGTTTGGTCCCATCCTTAGATTTGCCTTAGTTTTAAAAAAATGAATCCTGAGGAAAGAATGAGGAAATGACACCTTGCAGGAAAACTTAACACCCCACAGAAACAACAAACATACCAATATCACTAGGCTTGGGGAAAGGGAGATGTGTTTTTACTTGATAAAGAGCTAGGACTGTGGCAGCCATTGTTTTAATGGGATAAGCTACTTTTTAAAAAATAAAATATACATCAATACATTAATAGAAGCAATCAGTTTTATTGGACAGAATTCAAGTTTAATAATGATTCTTATTTTGTATCACTAACTCAATAATTTAGAATATGAAACAAAATCTTTCTACAGTACAAAAATATTGGTGCAAACACACTGCAAGTAAAATGTAGGTGAGAACTTAATTTACATCAACAGAACCCACATTCAAGTAATTCAAAACAGTTTAAAGAATTTTTATAATAACTTTATAACCCTCACAGTCCAAGTTTGAGCTTTAAAATTATTGGTAGCAATTAATTTAAAATTCATCATAATAATCAGGCAAGTTGAAATTCTTACAACTAACTAACATGATTATGACTTTGAGTAAGTTGAGAAATCAAACTTTACAAAAAGTACCTCAGGTAAATCTGGTGAAATGTTTTTTTTTTCAAATTTCAAAGGTTACCTCCCTTTACATTGAGAATATACGTGGTTACTACATGTTTCTATATAGAAAAAACACAGGGAAAATACATTTTAATTATTTTAAGTGTAGAGTTTATAGGTTTCAAAAGATTAACACAGAGATTTGAAGTATTGAAAGGCAACTGTAAAGGATATTTGATTCAACATTCAATCATAAACATTAAGATTTTTAAAAATTACAGTTCTAAAATTCTAAAGACAATGAAATTGTTTAGAAAATTTGAAATATCAACTAGCAATTAATGATATTGTATACTTGACGTTTTTAAGATGCGGCAAGTCTGTCTTGGCTGTGTGGTTATAATTTAAAGTGCCACAGAGGTATAATCTAAGCTGGAATATATACAGTTATGCTGTACCCAGCATAGGGATTTGGTAGTTCCCTTTTTAAACCTGACAGCATGGGCATGTGAAGTAGAGTTCACCTAAAATAAGGATTTACCTAAAAAAAAATTAAGAATACTGGAACTCGATTGGTAAAACAAAAATATATCATATAATTTTTTTTTATAAGCCTGATCAATTTGGATTGTAAAATACTATTTGAATACTTTTCTTTATTAATGAGGTACAGTAACTCATTGCTTTATTATACAGCCAAAGTTTGATAGATGACTAAAAGTCAAACTTTTTGTTCGCAATTTATTATCATTGAGAAAATCATAAAGTACACTTTAGAATGTAAGAAGGTTTTTTTTTTTTTTTACAGGTTCAGCTTAAAAACATTTTTTTGTAAAAAAAAAAAAAAAATCAAATGAATTCTTGAAAATGTTCCAAAATGCTTGGTAAATACAATATTTGCTATTCTAACTATCCAATCTTATTCAAAGTGTTTGTTCATTAAAAAAAAAAACAACCAATGATAATTATTTTAATTTTGTTTATACCACAATTTATACCCCAGACATAATGGTAAGGGTAACAATTGCTACCTATCAGATATTGTGTCTTATAGATAAGGCATATCTAATATTTCATGATACTTCTTAGAAGAACTGTTTAAACTAATCCTAACTATAAACCTAGTCTTTACCTGTCCTAATTTCTTTTTTAATGTGTGGCTGATCACCAACTGATGTTTGTGTGGGTCAAGTATTAAACTGGACGCTAGACACAGCAAAATCAAAATACAAAACCATTCGTTAAGTTGATTATAAACATGTTTTCTGATTTATAAATTAATATACATTTTTTAAAGTTGGGTATTGCTTTAATAAATATTTCTACAGTTTAAAATAATTTGAAAAAAAAATTAAAATAACTGTAACAATCTTAGTGGCATAGTCACTATAAACGGACATGACTGTGCTTTCATTCCACATTTTCTTGTACACATTTTTATATTTATTCCATATTTCCTTATAAACATTCCACATTTCCTTGTACACATTTTTCACCCACATTTCCCTGTACACATTCCAGATTGCATGTACACATTTTTATATTTATTCCACATTTACTTGTACACATTTGACCCAAATTTCTTTTTACACTCCACATTTCCTTGTACACATTTCACATTTTTATATTTATTCCATATTTCCTTGTACATATTCCACAGTTCCATACATTCATTTCACATTTCTTAGTACATATTCTGTATCTATATTTATTCCACATTCCCAAGTCAACATTCACTTTGACAAATTTAATATAAAGTTTCACACTTAAAATACCTATAACACTTATTATGTCAATAAATTTATCCAAACAATTCATGTATTTCATATGTCTTTACCACATTCAATTTGAAACAATCGCAATGCCTTTACACACACCAGGCTTAAGACACAAACTCAGCTGATTTAGCTGAAACTATCACACAAACTCTGCAAACAGACTTAAACTATTATTTTTTAGGTGAATATTTCGGATTGCGAGGTCCCTCAGTGTAGGATTTCAGTTCGTACGGAACACTTTTGGCATCAATGTCCAGCTTATGCCTGGCAAATATCAGCCTGATGTCTGTGTGCAGGTAGACTTTACCTGATCTGCTGCTGGCACACCTGTGGGGGGACAGGTGGGGAGGGGGGGGGGGGTGAAAGAAAAGATATAATTAATTCAGTTATAAATTAAAACTTGGGCACTTTTATGTTAAGCCAGAAAAAGTATAATTACCGACACAATTTGATCATTCAAACATTATATCACTTCAATATCTAACACATCCACATACATGTAGCAACAAACATTATATCAATGTCTAACACATACACATATGTAAAGCAACATAACTCTGAGAGCTAAGCTGTTGTTTTGCTGGTCTTTGCTTTAAACAATATGTCATGATTTCAAGCTTGTGTGTAGTAACTTATTGTATGGATGAAGAAAAGAGAACAAAGGGTGGGATGGGGGTGAATTCTAAAGCAGGGTAATTGTGATTAGCATATTGATTTAATTTTTACCACTAATTGGTTACAAGAAGTTTCACACTAGCATTTCTGTTAGTTCCTACAATTTCAAGTACTGGACAGCGCGGTCTAGCGGTAGAATGCTAGACTGCTAACACGAAAGCCCCTGAGTCCCCCCAACTCTGATGGGTAACTAATTCACGTAAGGGAAATAAAGGTGGCTTGGCATAATGCTGACCACATTATCTCTTCATACACTGAGGTCAAAAAACATATGAACTCTACTTCATATGTCCAAAGGATCGCTATGTCTAAAGAGGAATCTTTACTTTACTGCAATTTAAAATAGACGATCTAAATGATTTAAGGCAGTAATTATTTACTTTTGTTTTCAGAAATAATTTTACAAAATAGCACTTTTCTTAAAAATAGATTGTTTGAACCCTTGGTTAGGCCCTGACATGGTTTTGACAAAGAAATGTAGCTACAGCTTAGCTATCATATTAAAATAACTTTGAAACATTTAATTGATTTGTAAATGTCAAAAATACTGTCACTAAACCTCAGAAGATGAGGTCAGTCAAAGGGCTGGAACTGACCTGAGATGAATGAGGTACTGACCTGAGATGAATGAGGTACTGACCTGAGATGGATGAGGTACTGACCTGAGATGAATGAGGTACTGACCTGAGATGGATGAGGTACTGACCTGAGATGAATGAGGTACTGACCTGAGGTGAATGAGGTACTGACCTGAGATGAATGAGGTACTGACCTGAGATGAATGAGGTACTGACCTGAGATGAATGAGGTACTGACCTGAGATGAATGAGGAACTGACCTGAGATGAATGAGGTACTGACCTGAGATGAATGAGGTACTGACCTGAGATGAATGAGGTACTGACCTGAGATGAATGAGGTACTGACCTGAGATGAATGAGGTACTGACCTGAGATGAATGAGGTACTGACCTGAGATGAATGAGGTACTGACCTGAGATGAATGAGGTACTGACCTGAGATGAATGAGGAACTGACCTGAGATGAATGAGGTACTGACCTGAGGAGAATGAGGTACTGACCTGAGATGAATGAGGTACTGACCTGAGATGAATGAGGTACTGACCTGAGATGAATGAGGTACCGCAGGAAGGAGGGGGCGCTGGAGTTCTCGTCTGTCGGGCTGTAGACCGTGCGCTGCCGGATGAATGTTTGTGACGACGCTGGCATGTCTGACAGGTCGTACATGACGACAAACATCTTGACGACAGTTTTGTTGGGGTTGAACAGGGTCTGTGGATTAGAGCTGGCATTTAGGAGCAGGAAAGTATGTACAAGTTGTGTCAAATGCTGAATCGGGTGAAGTAGGGATTAAAATGTGGGATTATATTTTTGGGATTAAAAAGGGATTAAATTATTTTGATTAAAATTTGGGGTTAAATGATTGAGATGTTATTTTTGGAATTATATTACAAGGATAAAAGGCTTAGACAAAATATAAAAAAAGAAATTAAAAATGTTTTTAAAGGGGGGTAAATTCTTAAAGCATTGAATAGATGTGGATAAATGAACTCAGCTTTGTTGTCCACTTAGCAGGATTAAGGCTTTAAGTATTTAACACAAAAACTAAACATTTTTCTGGCCACTCACCACTTGTAGAGTTCCTTTCTTGGGGATGTGATAACCTTTTTTACTGACAGCTTCAAGGTTTATGTGACCCTGTGAATTTAAATATGATGACCTTGGTGAAAAAACTGATAAACTTTGTCTAAAGTTAGTTACAGTTGGCTATGAGCTAGTATAGTTATGTGTTTACTAAGAAGTGACAGAGAGGTCCATACATTTTCAGAAAGGAATTATTTATCATCTTATGACATGGGGTCATTCATAAACGACGTTACACTCGTAGGGGGTAGGGGGGTCCGTAATTCTGTGACGATGTGTGATGGGGGAGGGGGGGGGGGGGGGGTTAAATGTTGTGACGTCACAATTTTGCATTAAAAAAAAAGCAATGTTAGAAAACGAATTTTTGACGTTATTTAGCGTTTTAGATAATTGTTTTAATAAATTTCAATAGTTTAGATTTTGGAAAAATATCGATGTTTTAAAAAAATGCAACTGCAATTTTGAGGGGGGTTGTAGGTTGAGGTGTGACGTCATTTTAGGGGGGGGTCTGGCTTTTTGTGACGTGTGACGGAGGGGAGGGGGGGGGGAGGTAAAAATCGTCAAAAAAAGCGTGACGTCATTTATGGATGACCCCCATCCACAAAACTTTAAAAAGGTTTACAAAAACAACAAGAGACTACTATTGGCAAGGCTGAAATTAACAAGAGACAGCTTTCATTCTGATGGTTTAATGGGGGGGGGGGGGTTTAGTTGTTTTAGCACACTTTGCCTAAGTCAGTGTGTTGGGTATGAACTGCACACATCTCTAAGCACATTCATACTCCCATTTTCAAGGGACATAATAGCTCATTACCACTTCATCTCCTTGCCATTTTTCTTTCTGGATATAATTTACTAACGCTTTAATATGGTTGCCAACCCTAATGCAACCCTAACATTAAACTTGCCTTAATTCAAACCCAATTCTAAACTAGACTAATTCTAGCCCCCAAAGCAATTCTAACCACATGCCAGTCTAATCCTAGCCGCTAATTCAATTCTTATACTAAACTAGACTAAAACTAACCCTTAATTCAATCCTAATACTAAATTAGACTAAACCTAGCCACTACCCCACCCCTAATTTATAATTTTATATATCTTGGACAAGCTAAGGATACAGAACAATGGTCAAGTGGCACACAGCTACAAAATCTCACCAAATAGGGGGAGGGGGCGTTGTCCTCTGAGAGAGCGAAGAAAAAAGCTGACACAGGTAGATGCAGGTGTTTAGGACAGAAGGTACCGCTGGCACCAATCTCCGCAGTGAATCCCTCGACTGTACCCACAGGGTCGATACGTCCATTCAGTATAGATTCCTGTATTTTATAAAACAGTATAGATTCCTGTATTTTATAAAAAGTATAGATTCCTGTATATTATAAAACAGTATAGATTCCTGTATATTATAAAACAGTATAAATTCCTGTATTTTATAAAACAGTATAGATTCCTGTATATTATAAAACAGTATAGATTCCTGTATATTATATAAAAGTATAGATTCTTGTATATTATTAAGAAAAAGTATATATCCTGTATATTATAAAACTGTAAATCCTGGTAAATTATCAAACTGAATATTACTTAAGTATTAAAAAAGTATAGATTTTTGTTAAATATAATAAAAAAAAATATGGACTCCTGTTTACTATCAAACAATGCAGATGACTGTATTCAGTATTATACAGTATTGATTAAAAGGTATAGATTCTAGTATTCAAAATATAATGGTAAAAACATCTAGAAATCCTTGATTTTTATATAAAAATCAGTATTGCCCTTTCTGACACAATCTCAATTAGGACCTTGTAACTTGAACTCCATTTTGTGTGGTAAAAATGCTTTCAACACACTTTTCAAAACAAAATTACTATTTGTGTTTATACTTAGAAAAACTTTGGTAAAATGTCTTGGGTACAAATTTAACCAGTGTCAGAAGGGAATAGACTCCTCCATTACTGAGTTATCAAACAATAAAAACTTACATCAAAACTATAGCTAGGTTAGAACAAAGGATCCTGCACATGGAGACTTCTGTATTCATGGTGTAAAATATCAAAGAAAACTAAATCCTATTAAGTTTTTCATCTCAAATACAAGATTTAAAAAAAAAATTCATGGCAGCTGCCAGGTTTTTTCTTTGAAGGTTAGTTTTTGTACATATTTTAAGCTACTAAAAAAAATTAATGAAACTAATAACCCATTAAAAATAAAAATTCACTACTAAAAAAACCCACCTCAAAGTTCCCCAACAAACAGTTGGTTATTAAATAAAAATCCACTACTAAAAAACCCACCTCAAAGTTCCCCAACAAACAGTTGGTTGTTAAAATAAAAATCCACTACTAAAAAACCCACCTCAAAGTTCCCCAACAAACAGTTGGTTGTTAAAATAAAAATCCACTACTAAAAAACCCACCTCAAAGTTCCCCAACAAACAGTTGGTTGTTAAAATAAAAATCCACTACTAAAAAACCCACCTCAAAGTTCCCCAACAAACAGTTGGTTGTTAAAATAAAAATCCACTACTAAAAAACCCACCTCAAAGTTCCCCAACAAACAGTTGGTTGTTAAAATAAAAATCCACTACTAAAAAACCCACCTCAAAGTTCCCCAACAAACAGTTGGTTGTTAAAATAAAAATCCACTACTAAAAAACCCACCTCAAAGTTCCCCAACAAACAGTTGGTTGTTAAAATAAAAATCCACTACTAAAAAACCCACCTCAAAGTTCCCCAACAAACAGTTGGTTGTTAAAATAAAAATCCACTACTAAAAAACCCACCTCAAAGTTCCCCAGCAAACAGTTGGTTGAAGCCGGAGCACTGGTGCTTAGTGTTCTTTTCTTGTCCTCCTCATTTTCATCCTTCTTTTCTGAAGAGTTCATCAACAGTTTCGAACATGAAAATGCACTGCAAAAAAAGTTTAAAAATCCATGTTACCTTAATGTTACATAAAAACATCCTAACTAAATGAAAAATATTCTGAAAAAACAATTTAAGAAGCTTAGGTTATTTATGGAGCAGAATAAAAATATAAATCATAAAATGTCTTTGAAAAAGAATAAAAAAAACTTCAAAATGTTAAAAAAAAACTTCAAAGAGTAAAAAACAAGTTAATAAAAAGTCTAGTGACAATTTAAGCGCAATTTCCTTAATTAATTTTTTGTGACTGAACAAAAGGATATTTTTGAAAACTTTCTTCGGCAATATTGTTCTAAATTATGGCAGGAATCGATTGGTAAATGTTTCAAGTCGCTAAGTGGTCTGGTTGCCGAGATATGGGCCAAAAACTGCATTTTTTCGAGGTTTTTTGGCTTTTCCGGGAAATCCAGGAAGGAATTCCGGGAATTTTTTTGGCCCACAATCATCCTCGGAACTTGCTTAACATATTTGCTTTGGAACTAGTCCTCAATATTGCTTTGTTGAGGAGGAGATACGACTTAAAGCTGCGGACACACATGGACACACATCCTTGACGAGTTAATAATCGCAATTGTCCGTATGGAAATTGCGCTAAAAAATAGCTTAATATAGAATAAAAAACCAGTATGGTATATTATAATTTAGACAAGGCACAAACCACTAGACAAGACTGAAAGAATAAAACAAACCTTTTCAAAGCTCTGGTGTTGATAAGACTGGAGTCATAGTCAAAGCTTCCTCCTGGTTTTCTTTTCAGTGGCGCCTGAAACACAAAACATTTTTAAAATTTCTAAACATATTTAACCTTTACATTCAATATCTCCAAATGTAATTATAAGAACTGAAAGTTTTATTTAAACAGCTTAATCATTAGATTTAAAAAAATTATCCTCAAGCCCACCACCATTTAATGGGACATCATAGTAGGAGAGTACAACTGCTAATCCAAGGCTCTAGTTCAGATTCTGGATTTGAGTTCCGCTCTTATGGGTACCTGACTTACATTAGGGAAAGTAAAGGTGGATGGGCATAATGCTGACCACACTATCCGAGGTCACAGAAACAGGTGAACTCTACTTCATCTACCCCATGGACTGCCAGGTTTGAAAGGGTAACTTTACTTTGACCGATATTTAATACAACTCATAGATTTGAGGTAAAAAGACAACTCTTTTCATGTGATAAGATAGCACCTTAAAACAAACTTAAGAACTGACTTACTGGACCCTGAGGTAAAACAAACACTACAAACTTTATACAAGAACTGACCTACTGGATTAGTCATGTGATAAAATAGCACCTCAAAAAAAAAACACTACACAACTTAAAGAAGCATTGACTTCACTCAATGAGTCATGTGATAAAATAGCACCTTACAACAAACACAAGAACTGACTTACTGGACCCTGAGTCATGTGATAAAATAGCACCTTAAAACAAACACAAGAACTGACTTACTGGACCCTGAGTCCTGTAATAAAACAGCACCTTAAAACAAACACAAGAACTGACTTACTGGACCCTGAGTCATGTGATAAAATAGCACCTTAAAACAAACACAAGAACTGACTTACTGGACCCTGAGTCATGTGATAAAATAGCACCTTAAAACAAACACAAGAACTGACTTACTGGACCCTGAGTCATGTGATAAAACAGCACCTTAAAACAAACACAAGAACTGACTTACTGGACCCTGAGTCATGTGATAAAATAGCACCTTAAAACAAACACAAGAACTGACTTACTGGACCCTGAGTCATGTGATAAAATAGCACCTTAAAACAAACACAAGAACTGACTTACTGGACCCTGAGTCATGTGATAAAATAGCACCTTAAAACAAACACAAGAACTGACTTACTGGACCCTGAGTCATGTGATAAAACAGCACCTTACAACAAACACAAGAACTGATTTACTGCTTGAAACTAACACAAGTTTTGACTTACTGGACTAGACTGGGTTGGCAGACCAGTGCGGCTGTTAAAGATCATGGAGGCACTTCTGGCCGCCAACTTACGTAAGCCAAGCTGACTGGCCATATCACAGTTAGGCTGGGGATTAAACTTCACACGTAAGGTACAGCAAAAATCATATTTTTTAAAAGTTTTTTTTTAAAAAGAGACCAATAATCTCCAATAACTATTTAAAATTTATTTTATTACATCCAAAATGTGAAGAAAAAAAATCATTAAAAAATTTGTCCTAAGTAACATAAAAAAAATGACGTAGAATCTATATGAAACAAAAACCAAGATTTGAAGAATTAAGTATTTTTTATAGACATACTGATAGAACAAGAAATAAATAGGAATAGAGGTGTGATGATCAGAAAAGATGTGTTGAAACAGAGAGAAAAAGATGTGTTATAGAACAAACAAGATTTATTCAGTACTAAGTACAGTGGAGACAAAAATAATTATACATGAGAAATACATTGCTTTAGTCGTCCCAGTGGTATTTAGATACTCTGAAAAATCTCAAATGTTCCCTGAAATCTTTTTGTGCTGAGCTTTTAAAGAGCTTGAGAAAGAATCAAAATTGTAGGGCGGTAGTTTACTTAACTGTGCTGTTGCCAGTGGGGCCAACTTAAAGAAAAGAAAAAAGTAATTTGGAAAAACTTGTGTCAAAAATTTGGTCAGTTTTATATAAACAATTTGTTTTTTTAAAAATAATATGAGATATAGAAGTGGGAAAAGTAATTAACAAAATCCAGAAGTGTTTAAAATTAAAAATTATTCTTAAGAACTCATAGTTGAAAAGATCTTTTAAATAAAATTGATAGACTATAAATACAGTCTTCAGAATTTGTTTTTCTTTAGTATTTTTTTTAATAAAGTAGGCCTAAAAGTATTGTGAAAATAGTGCAGAGAATGAGATCTGAAAGTTAAAGCTAAAACCCTTACTGTAGTAATCACAGATGTCTTTGATGGTGACCTCTGAACTTGGGACTCTCTATCCATACAGCTGGGGGTTGATACAGTGCGGTGGGGTGGGACTGAGCTCCACCCCGGGGGGTCGCCATGCAGTGGGGGCGACCCAGACAAGGGCTCGGCCACATTCTTGCCCTTAGCCCTGAAGGTCCCCAGAGTTGTCCGTGACCTTATCTCAAGGTCGTATTCCAGAGAGAGGCTGGTCGACCTGGGCGGGTTGAGTGACTGTGGGTGTGAGCTGAGTACAGATAACAGCATGGATGACTGGGACAACGCTGGGTGGACCTGCGCGTTGTTCTCTTTGGACTCGGACAAATAGAAGACCACGTCGTGGTCTGCAAGGTCGTCTTCGTTGTCGTTAAAAGTTTCATCATCGCTGACCATGCTGATCAGGCTTTCATTCTGCAGGCTCCTCCCATGCTGGAGAGTTGAGCCGTCACATGCGTTTAACTGACTCTTGCTTGAGCCGTCGCAGGCGTTTAACTGACCCTTGGTTGAGCCGTCGCAGGCGTTTAACTGACCCTTGGGATCTGTGGTGGTCAGCTGGTCAGGTATGAGCAATAGTGGACCAGTTTTCTGCTCAGAAGGCACTAAGATTGGTTCTGTCTTCAAATCGGTCTGTTCGGTTATTGCATTGTGGGTAAAGGAAGTCAGGTCAGGATTTGTGGTCGGAGCAAAGGAAGTCAGGTCAGGGGATTTGGTCTGAGATTCAGTTATTTTTATCACAGGGGCAATTTCACTGGGACACTGGTCAAGTCCATCTCTCAAGGTGAAGGTCAGTGTTTTTTCATTAGTTATGTCTGCACCATCAAGGCTGGAGTTAAGGCCGGATGGGCTTGCGTCAGAGCAGTCGTTTAAATTGTAGCCATTAGTTAACGAGCTGGGACGTTTGGGCAGGGGGTGACCTTTGTCTGAGATGGTGACCTTTGACCTGACTTGGGTTTCTGGAACCCCAGAGAGGCTTGCTGTGGTCAAGGTGGTGGTAACATAGCTGGTATGAAGTGCTGCAGCTACATCATCCGTGTAGACACCAGTTTCTGGGGTTGAGTCACTGTTTGAGTCAGTAGATGGAAGAGTTTTGGTACCAGGGGAAGATCTGTCCTGGTTATCACAGATATTTGAAAGACTAGATTGGAACTGTGGATCTGGCAGGCATCCTGCCAGTGATGGTGGATCTGACAAGCGTCCTGTCAATGATGGTGGTGATGTATCTGGCTGTGAAGCTGTCAAAGAGACATGCTGTGTCAGTGATACGACGTGCGTCAGTACTGCACAGTTGGATGCTGCCTTTGAAGATGTACCAGCTTGTGAAAGGAGCTCATGGTATGGTGATGTTCCTGGTTCAGACAACACTGTATCAGACACGTCTGGTTTGATAGCGGGTAGCTGCGAAGATTCTGGAACAGTCTCGGCACTTTCGTCTGTGCTGATGTAGGTGTCATGAGGTGCAGGTGCTTCAATGTTACTCACACACAAGGTAGCGGTGTCAAGGTCAGAGTAAGATATTTCTTGAGGTTTGATTTTGTCCTGAGTTAAAGGCTGCACTTGGCCAGCCAGTGAAAGACTAGTGGGATTATGGCACGTTTTGTTGTTTGCAATGGACGAAGTTGAGGGTGGTGGGGGAATGGTGAGTGCTTCACTTGGAGTGGCTAGAGTATCTTGAACAGTCGTGTGAAGAGATTCCCTGGTTCGGTCTAGACCACTGGTCTCCAAGGAAGAGATTTGAAGATGCAGATGTTTTGTTTGTGGAGATTTACTTTTAGCTATGTGTCTGTTGTTCATTTCAGTTTCATTCAGTGTCTGGTATTTCTTAGAATTCTCATTCTGCATGGAGCAGTTCAAATGAGGTGCAGCATGAAAAGATGAATTGGATGACGAAGAGGATGATGACGATGAAGAAGATAAGGATGAAATCGTTGGGGATGGTGTGGCTGTTTCGGACTGATGAATGTCGGTTCCATTTACTGTTTGGTCACTGCCGTCTGGTGATTTGAACTTTTGGTACTGGTCAAAGAAAGGGGGTGAACTCTCATCAAAGAAGGGGCAATAACTCAGCTGTCGCCGAGCCTTCACATCATGTTCACCAGTCCCGTGTTTTCTATGTTCTTTATAAACTTTGCTAAATCTATCATCATGATTTGAGTCATGATCATAGTTTTTAGTTTCTTTATTTATATCATGATTGGAGTCATGGTCATAGTTTTTAATTTCTCCATTCGTATGAGTTCTGTTGCTGGCTTTAATCACCTGATCATTGTCAAAGCCGTCTGAAGCTTGAGCGCCATTTTTTACAATTTCCGTGTCCGTCACATCATCAACCACATCAACGTCTACTGTCAACGCTGACAAATTTGACAAGTAGCTGCCGATCGCTTCCGGACTGACCACGTCACAGATTCTAGACTTAAAAAAATCCGACTCCAAGGTTTCAGTGAAATCAATACACTTGCCAGATGGGACAGAACTCCTGCTGGGTACGTCACAGGAGAACAGAACTTTAGGGCTGTGGAGAATGTTCTTGTTTGAATTCTGCTCCACTTTTTGAAACGAGTCGCTGTCTGCATCGTAGGAGACCAAGGGAAGCAGATTCTCCTCAAATATTTTTCTGGAGGTTTGTTTGACGCCGGAGGTGGTGCTGTGTGGGGTGGGATCAAAACTTGGATTAGAAAGATACGGCTCAAAATCTTCAGGATCTGTGTGATTGGATGTCTGGGTGAAGCTAGATTTGAAGAGTGAATGTTTGTTGTAGTCCTGATGGTCAAAGAAGTCTGTGGGATGCTTGTCTTGAAATGTGTTATGATAGGATGTGCTGGGGATGTGTTGGGATGGGTGAAATGCTTGTCCATGAAAAGTTGGACTGGAAGAAGGTTGGCAAGATGTTTCTTGTCTGTAAGTCGTCTGTGTTGTTTGGTTGGCGTCATGGTTGGCGTGGCTTCTCGAAGCCTGGTCAGAGAGGTATAGAGAGGGTTGGTTGTCTGCGAGCGACTGCTGGTAGTCGTGCCAGTTCTGTCTGACAGTCTTCTCCGCCACAGACTTCACCAGGCTCTCACTGACAGACTTTGAGCGCGGCGTCTCATTGGGTGACGGCACTGGCGTCGTGTCAGAATCCTCTGCCAAATCCGACGTCACACAGATGGACAGCTCTGACAGAACAGATGACCCAGCAGGGGGTGTCTTGTATCCTGGGTTCATGTCCAGGGCTGAGCTAGAACTTAATCTACCGGCACCGGGTTTTGTTTGGGGAATTTTCTTCGGGACTGACCACTGGTTTCTGTCTTTGGAACTCCTCAACACAGCCGAACAGTCCAGCAGCTCCTGGACGTGCTGCTGTTTGGCTGTCCGAGGGTGCCACGGATCCTCAGGCGACAGGTTAACAAGAGACAGGCGGTCGGAAAGTTTCCGGATAAATTCTTCTTCGTTTGCTTCTCTCTGTGAGATGGTCAGCTTTTTCTGTTTGTCAGAGCCGTCGCTCGGAGTCTTCTTCAAGAAATTATAGCAAGTCTGTGGTTCTGTCTTAGACCTGAAATGACCAGGTCTGCCTTTCTTGGTATGCAAAAACCCATTGTCTTCATGGCAGTTGTAGACAGAGGAAATATTCCCGGCACTTTGTCTGCTGCGCCATGAGCTCTTGTCTTTCCCAGAACTGTATGGCAGAAACATAGCTCTCTCAGAGTTATCCCGCAATTTGTAGAGCTCTTTTTTCTTTTTGTGAATGAAAGCTTGAGAATCATCAGGACTCTTCTGCCCTGCTTCACACGCTAAACATACAGCACTTTCTTTCGTGACATGTCCGTCGTCATATGATCTACTCTGCTTCCTCTGCTCAATCCGCAGGTCTTTGTCCCCATCCTTTTTCTTAACCCTAGCCCCCTTTCGCCTGTTGCCATCCAGATTAAAACCCACTTCCTCGTTCTTCAAGCTTGCCGCAAACTTTTTATTCAGATCAACTTTATCACCGAACTGCTGCCTGGCCTGGGGTGATCCCCCACACTGGACTGACCTGTCCGACCCCACACACTCGTGCCCACACACCACTTCCTGTCCGGAAGCGTCCGCCCAGCGTGGACTCTCCGGCGCCGCTTCGACAGACTGACCAAAAGATTTCCTGACAAACTCTCTCATGCTGGTCAAGTGCCAGCAGTCGCCTCCGTCCCCGGCACCCAGACTGGAGAACTTCCCAGCCACACTGGCGCCAGATGCCGCCTGCTGGCTCCTTGGCTTATCTTTCCTGGGCTGCTGCCCTAAAGACATGAAGGAACCTGTGACATTAGTTCTAGCTTGAAGCAACAAACTTCCTTTAGACACATCCCCACTGCAGGTTTTAGAAATATTTTTCTTATCCAGATTTTTGAAAGATTCGGGACTTTTTTTTGAAGGCAGAGCAGTGCTGTCTCCTGAAGCGACTGATTTCATTTTTACTTTTCCTCCTTTAGGCGTGACGCTTGAAGCTTGGGTGCCGTTGTGTGTCCAGCCTCCCTTGGAGTGGGGGTCTCCCATGTCTTCAGGGCCCCAAGCCTGGGTGGGGCTGGGGGCTGGGTCTTCTATCCCGCAGACAATCTGGGGTACGTTCTGCTGACGTCTCAAGGATGTGACACTGACAGTGATGGCGTTGTGGTGGGCGTGGCATATGGGGAATTTGTGCAGGTCTGGTGGCTGGGGGAATTCAAGGCTGGCGTCTTCACCTGGTGCATACACCCTGTGTTAGGGAGGATCACATTTTTTAGTCAGTTTCCTCAATTATTTTTAGTTAGAAAAAAACCTGTAGCTTAACCGTAAAAAGGCGAGATGTTAGGATAAAATTCTTATCCAGATTTAAAGTGTCTATGATCAACTGACAACTCTGATGGGTACCTAACTCAAGTTAGGGAAAGTAAAGGTGGCTAACCATAGTGCTGACCTTCATATGTGGAGGTCACATAAACAGGTGAACTCTACTTCACTTGCCCCATGGACCATCAGGGTCAAAAAGGGAACTTTACTTGACTAACTTTTTATACTTAACTCAAGGTAACTCTAAAATATGTCAAATGAGAATGGCAAATAGGTAGGTGCTTAAAATATTCTTTACACAAAATAACACCAAACCCCTACTTTACATACTAAACTGTTCTTATATGAATCAACACCCACCTCCTAACTGTAAATACCCAAATATTCTTTAGATAAAAAGATTTCCAACCCCCGATTTTATATACTAAAAAGTTCTTTACATTACAGAACACCAACCCCTTTGCTGTATCTTTCTTTACACAAAAGAACACCAGCCCCTTACTTCACAAACTGAAATGTTCATTACATTAAAGAACACCAATCCCTTTTCTGTAAATACCAAAATATTTTTTACATGACCCAACACCAAACCCCTTACTTTATATACCGAACATTCTTTGCATGATAGAACATGAACCCCCAACTGTATATCCTAAAAAGTATCCAGAATAAACCACCTGGGCCCACTAGAGAACCCACCTGTAGGCTAAGGTACCAGGCAACTCGCCGCCAATAGAGAACCCACCTGTAGGCTAAGGTACCAGGCAACTTGCCACCTATAGAGAACCCACCTGTAGGCTAAGGTACCAGGCAACCTGCCACCAATAGAGAACCCACCTGTAGGCTAAGGTACCAGGCAAATCGCCACCAATAGAGAACCCACCTGTAGGCTAAGGTACCAGGCAACTTGCCACCAATAGAGAACCCACCTGTAGGCTAAGGTACCAGGCAACTTGCCACCAATAGAGAACCCACCTGTAGGCTAAGGTACCAGGCAACTTGCCACCAATAGAGAACCCACCTGTAGGCTAAGGTACCAGGCAACTTGCCACCAATAGTGAACCCACCTGTAGGCTAAGGTACAAGGCAACTTGCCACCAATAGAGAACCCACCTGTAGGCTAAGGTACCAGGCAACTTGCCACCAATAGAGAACCCACCTGTAGGCTAAGGTACCAGGCAACTTGCCACCAATAGAGAACCCACCTGTAGGCTAAGGTACCAGGCAACTTGCCACCAATAGAGAACCCACCTGTAGGCTAAGGTACCAGGCAACTTGCCACCAATAGAGAACCCACCTGTAGGCTAAGGTACCAGGCAACTTGCCACCAATAGAGAACCCACCTGTAGGCTAAGGTACCAGGCAACTTGCCACCAATAGAGAACCCACCTGTAGGCTAAGGTACCAGGCAACTTGCCACCAATAGTGAACCCACCTGTAGGCTAAGGTACCAGGCAACTTGCCACCAATAGAGAACCCACCTGTAGGCTAAGGTACCAGGCAACTTGCCACCAATAGAGAACCCACCTGTAGGCTAAGGTACCAGGCAACTTGCCACCAATAGAGAACCCACCTGTAGGCTAAGGTACCAGGCAACTTGCCACCAATAGAGAACCCACCTGTAGGCTAAGGTACCAGGCAACCTGCCACCAATAGTGAACCCACCTGTAGGCTAAGGTACCAGGCAACTTGCCACCAATGGAGTAGAGCCAGGAGCTGATCTGTGAGAAATGCAGGTAGGACCTGACAGCCTGTAGCAGCATATTGGACGACAGGCCTTCATCTTGCCTGCAGGTTCAAAGATAACAGCACTTTAATTTATGTTCAATCTTATATTTACACGGCCATTCTAAAAGTGTACATTTTTCACCTAAACATTATTGCTTTGGGTAATAACATATGGGACATAACTCTGATTTAAAATAAAAGGATTGCAAGTTGAAAATATTAAAACATTTATGTGTACTGTTCTATTTACATAGCCATCATAAACTATGTGTAAACAGAACTACAGTATAGAGAAGGGGTCTCCAAACTTTTCAGCCCGAGGGCCGCATATCAGTTTAAGGGCCAGAGTTTCTTCAAGACATCTCTTCGAAGAACGTGTGCAGTTCCCCCCACCCCCTTAAAGAAATATAATTTATCTAGAAATATAAACAAATTTCAATTGTCGTCGTCGTCCCCCCCCCCCCCCCCCCCCCGGAGGAAAAACTCTGAAAGAAACACTGTCGGTGGCCAAAAGCACCTCGAGGTCCAAGTTTGCTCTCAAATTGTTCTTCACGTATTTCAATCTTGAAAATATTTGTTCACACAGGTATCTTGTTTTGAAAATTTGAAAGGTACTTTGATGCAAAAGTTTTAATATTAGGAAAATCTTCCTTTTGAAAAAACCTATAAAAACCCACCCGCCCTTCTTTGAACGTGTCTCTAGTGACCTCCAGCTGCAGTTCATCTTTGCAACTAGCCACATTTGCTTCAAATGGGTTCTGAAACAGTCTCACTTTTTTCTGCCCTTGAATCCAAGTCAAAAAACCGCTTGAAGTCTTTGATGATCTCGTATACAAATGACATGGGGAACTCAGTGGTTGCTTCAGCCTAAAGACCTTGCACTACTGAGAGTGCGTAAGTTGTTGGCTTGAACTTGTTCCAAAAACATGACAAGTTTGGATCTGAAAGCCTTTAGGTGGGTGTATAGATCAGAAACTGAATTTCCATCTCTTGTAGTTTTGGGTTCAGAAAATTTAAATGACTAGTTATGTTTGCAGCAGAGGCCAATTTCTATACCCACTCTTCATCAGACAGTAAGTACATCAGCTTGTGGCTTGCCTTTACTTTCAAGGAAGTCACCTATTTCCTTTCTTAACTTAAATACTCTGCTCAGAAAAATTTAGCCATCTTACTGCTCTGAAATAGGGTAAATCTTGCGATTCTGTGTTTCTATCTTTTAACATGTCTTTGAACTATCTATATTCTCTCCAGTAACAGTGCCACACATTCTATGTAGGGAAGCCAGCTCTTATGTTATATTTATGTCTGCATCCACACCTCTAATGAACATAAGCAGTTGAACAGCTGTCCAGCAACTGATCCATTACAATTAAAAAATGGCGAAACTTGCTTGCATTTTTCGCTATTTGAGTCACAATATTTTCACCAATGTCTGCAACACGGCGGGCAATGGTATTTGCACCCAAAGCTACATTTTCAAATTGTTTTCAATTTTCTGGCCATAGTTTCTCAGCCACCTCTGATAAACATTTATTCCGTGGACAAAACGTTCGCAGCGGGCCGGATGAGAGGACCTCGCAGGCCGCGGGCCGTAGTTTGGAGACCCCTGATGTACATCATAAACTGTAGGTGTAAACACTTTTTACCTTAACAGATGACACAGAACTACAGTATAGTGGATGGTCAATGGTTTAAAAATAATATTAATTTAACTTTTACAATGGAATGGGACGGCTTGGTTGGATGGTAGTGTAGAGTACAGATCCTGGGCTAGAGTCTATAAGAGTCCCTGAGTTCACCCAGCTCTTATGGGTACCTGACCCATTTGACTTGGTTGGATGGTAGTGCAGAGTACAGATTCTGGGCTAGAGTCTATAAGAGTCCCTGAGTTCACCCAGCTCTTATGGGTACCTGACCCATTTGGCTTGGTTGGATGGTAGTACAGATCCTGGGCTAGAGTCTATAAGATGTCCCTGAGTCCACCCAGCTCTTATGGGTACCTGACCCATTTGGCTTGGTTGGATGGTAGTGCAGATCCTGGGCTAGAGTCTATAAGATGTCCCTGAGTCCACCCAGCTCTTATGGGTACCTGACCCATTTGGCTTGGTTGGATGGTAGTGCAGAGTACAGATCCTGGGCTAGTCTAAAAGATGTCCCTGAGTTCACCCAGCTCTTATGGGTACCTGAACCATTTGGCTTGGTTGGATGGTAGTGCAGAGTACAGATCCTGGGCTAGAGTCTATAAGATGTCCCTGAGTTCACCCAGCTCTTATGGGTACCTGACCCATTTGGCTTGGTTGGATGGTAGTGCAGAGTACAGATCCTGGGCTAGAGTCTATAAGAGTCCCTGAGTCCACCCAGCTCTTATGGGTACCTGACCCATTTGGCTTGGTTGGATGGTAGTGCAGATCCTGGGCTAGAGTCTATAAGATGTCCCTGAGTCCACCCAGCTCTTATGGGTACCTGACCCATTTGGCTTGGTTGGATGGTAGTGCAGAGTACTAATCCTGGGCTAGAGTCTATAAGAGTCCCTGAGTCCACCCAGCTCTTATGGGTACCTGACCCATTTGGCTTGGTTGGATGGTAGTGCAGAGTACAGATCCTGGGCTAGAGTCTATAAGAGTCCCTGAGTTCACCCAGCTCTTATGGGTACCTGACCCATTTGGCTTGGTTGGATGGTAGTGCAGATCCTGGGCTAGAGTCTATAAGATGTCCCTGAGTCCACCCAGCTCTTATGGGTACCTGACCCATTTGGCTTGGTTGGATGGTAGTGCAGAGTACAGATCCTGGGCTAGTCTAAAAGATGTCCCTGAGTTCACCCAGCTCTTATGGGTACCTGACCCATTTGGCTTGGTTGGATGGTAGTGCAGAGTACAGATTCTGGGCTAGAGTCTATAAGAGTCCCTGAGTTCACCCAGCTCTTATGGGTACCTGACCCATTTGGCTTGGTTGGATGGTAGTGCAGAGTACAGATTCTGGGCTAGAGTCTATAAGAGTCCCTGAGTCCACTCAGATCTTATGGGTACCTGACCCACGTAAGGGAAAAAAAGGGTTAATCATAGTGCTGTCCACACTATCCCTTCAAATACAAAGATCACACAAACAGGTGAACTCTACTTCAACTGCACGGCCGAACCCCAGATCTGAAAGGTTAACTATAAATAGTTTTAGTAGCTAAAAATAACTAAAGCAAATGGCAGCCCAGTACTGAGATAGTTAAACAAAAACGAGCTAATAAATTATTTTCCTACCGTCTTTTCGAGCCATCAATGATCCACTTCTCCACCAGTAGGGAGCTCTCTGTACTGGACCTGGTCACGGCGCCATCTATGACCAGAGCCTCCTGCCTGCCGTGTGGGCAGTCTGGGAACAGGAGGATGTCCAGGCAGATGGGGATGTTGTTCTGCCAGAGTCTGGTTGCTAGGTAACAGAACTCACTGGCTCGCAAGCACTGGGGAGGGAGACAAACATCAAAACACTGGGGAGGGACACACATCATCATCACTTTAAATAACGGCCAGCTCTACAGTTAAATTGGCCAGCTCTATTATATACATTGGTCAAGGAAAAACTAACTCTGATATTGTTAATTTTTTCCATTGCAATTTTGTGTACATTTAAGAGTAAGAATGAAAATATTTTTCCTATAGGTTTAGCTGATATTAGACTTGTGAGGCCACTAAATGCTCAGTCTGCGACTGCAAGGTTGAATGGTAGAGCATAGAACGTTGTGACGGTAGGATATCCCTGAGTCAACTCAGCTCTGATGGGTACCTGACTTAAGTTGGGATAAGTAAAGGCGGCTCAGCATAGTGCTGACCAAACCAAACCATCCTTTCACATGCCTTGGCCAAGAAACATCAACTCAACTTAATCTGCCCAATGGACCACTAAAGGTCTAAAGAGGAACTTTACATAAATCCCCTATCCCCATAACTTATATATTTGGCTGTTCCATAAATCCCCTATCCCCATAACTTATGTATATGGCTGTTCCATAAATCCCCTATCCCCATAACTTATATATTTGGCTGTTCCATAAATCCCCTATCCCCATAACTTATGTATATGGCTGTTCCATAAATCCCCTATCCCCATAACTTATGTATTTGGCTGTTCCATAAATCCCCTATCCCCATAACTTATGTATTTGGCTGTTCCATAAATCCCCTATCCCCATAACTTATATATTTGGCTGTTCCATAAATCCCCTATCCCCATAACTTATGTATATGGCTGTTCCATAAATCCCCTATCCCCATAACTTATGTATATGGCTGTTCCATAAATCCCCTATCCCCATAACTTTGTGTATTCAGCTGGTACACAAACCAATACAAATCTTGCCCTACTGAATGATTTATTTACAAATTGAACACAGGCCATTGGGTGCACACAACCAACTGTTGCATCATTCACCATCAACAAACTCAGTACAAAAATCAATAACCAAGTTAATGAATGGACTACTGCTGTACTACCAACAACAAAAATCAATAACCAAGTTAATGAATGGACTACCAATGTACTACCAACAACTGAGTACAAAAATCAATAACCAAGTTAATGAATGGGCTACCACTGTACTACCAACAACTGAGTACAAAAATCAATAACCAAGTTAATGAATGGACTACCAATGTACTACCAACAACTGAGTACAAAAATCAATAACCAAGTTAATGAATGGGCTACCAGTGTACTACCAACAAACTCAGTACAAAAATCAATAATTAAGTTAACGAATGGGCTACCACTGTACTACCAACAACTGAGTACAAAAATCAATAACCAAGTTAATGAATGGGCTACCACTGTACTACCAACAACTGAGTACAAAAATCAATAACCAAGTTAATGAATGGGCTACCACTGTACTACCAACAACAAAAATCAATAACCAAGTTAATGAATGGGCTACCACTGTACTACCAACAACAAAAATCAATAACCAAGTTAATGAATGGGCTACCACTGTACTACCAACAACTGAGTACAAAAATCAATAACCAAGTTAATGAATGGGCTACCACTGTACTACCAACAACTGAGTACAAAAATCAATAACCAAGTTAATGAATGGGCTACCACTGTACTACCAACAACTGAGTACAAAAATCAATAACCAAGTTAATGAATGGACTACCACTGTACTACCAACAACTGAGTACAAAAATCAATAACCAAGTTAATGAATGGGCTACCACTGTACTACCAACAACTGAGTACAAAAATCAATAACCAAGTTAATGAATGGGCTACCACTGTACTACCAACAACTGAGTACAAAAATCAATAACCAAGTTAATGAATGGACTACCAGTGTACTACCAACAACTGAGTACAAAAATCAATAACCAAGTTAATGAATGGACTACCAGTGTACTCACCTCAAACTTTTCTGCGTTACACTTGTGTGCGGGACGTCCTCTAATGACGGGACAGTGTGGGCCCTCCACCCTCCCTTTGATGGACAGGTCTGGGGTCCTGGCCTCCACAATCAGCAGGACCAACTCCTTGACCAGCTGGAGGGGATCCTTCAAGTCTTCTTCCATTTCCACACTGGCCTCTCCTGGGAGATTCAAGATTTACACCACATTAGCATCAACAAATTACAGCACATTAGCATCAACAATTTACACCACATTAGCATCAACAATTTACACCACATTAGCATCAACAATTTACACCACTTCAGAAAAAGTAATTTACTGTATATTAGCAAAAACAATTTACACCACATTTGCATAAACAATTTACACCACATTTTCATAAACAATTCACACCACATAATTTGCATCACATCAGCATAAGAATTGGCACCACATCAGCATACATTATTTACACAAAATTAGCATAAAAAATTGACATCAAAATGTCCCAAAGTATCTCTATGATGACTAGCCATTACAATAAAAGAAGAATGTGATAGTTCCTCATGAAATCAGTCCTACACCATTTCTCCTTGTTTAGAGATAATGACATTGTTTTGCCAATATTTTCATTCACTTCAGTCATTATTCATTTGTGGTAATTTTCTACCTTTTTTTTGTTTGGTAAAAATCATTTTATGATCACATAGTCTATTCAGCTAATTTTTTTTATTTAATCTGTTCCATTAATGGACCATAAGTCTACAGTACAACTTAAAAATCCACCTTATCTCCTGTAAGCCCAGAGTAAACCCACAGTAAACCTACAACCCAGTCAAAGACTTTTCTATTACCATTATTGACTACATTCTACAGACTAATTCAAAAATCAATTAAACTTTCTTTAGGTTTTTATACAACCAGACAAAGTGTAAACAGAATAATGGATCTTGTGAGCCTGTAGTTGTATGCAGTAGTAATGATAGACAAAGGGGAGGGAAGCCACGACTGCATTGTATTATCCAGCATAAAATATAAACAAACCAGGCTATTTAAATAAGGGGGAGGGGGGGGGGGAAGGGGAGTATCTTATGAAAAATGAATGTAAAAATTTCAATAAACTAAGGTGAAATTATAGAAGCACACATCTAATACAGTAACTCCAGAATATACACTCTTCCAAACAACTTTTAAAATTGTTTTTAGGAATCTGAATCTGTGGTTTTATTTATGAAATGCTTTTTTCTTCTTGATAGTTCCTATTTTTAGTGCCTCTCATTTTTAGTGAGTATTTTATGAGGAAAATATTTTAGATTTAATTAAAAATGGGGAGAATGGTCAAGTAAAAGAGCATTATCTCCCTTTTAAAAAAGGGAGAGTATGTTATAATAAAAAGGGAAAGAACTATCATGAAAACAATGGACAGAATAAGAGAATAGTTATAAAAAAACTAGACTGAATATAAAGAAAACTATCAAAGTTTTAGATCAATCAAGGAGACATTAACTACTTTTTCACACTGATCAAACACAGTGAACTTAACCCTTTTCAAGATCAGGCAACTTACAAGTGAACAGGCAAATAGTGACCCCTACACACTAATAGTGACATTCATAGTGACCTGACACACAACTAGTGACCTGAAACACACCACTATTGACCTGAAACACACCACTAGTGACCTGAAACACACCACTAGTGACCTGACACACAACTAGTGACCCCTACACAAGTGGTGACCTGACACACAACTGGTGACCTGACACACAACTGGTGACCTGAGACACAACTAGTGACCTGAAACACAACTAGTGACCTGAGACACAACTAGTGACCTGAGACACAACTAGTGGCCTGACACACAACTAGTGACCTGACACACAACTAGTGACCTGACACACAACTAGTGACCTGACACACAACTAGTGACCTGACACACAACTAGTGACCTGACACACAACTAGTGACCTGACACACAACTAGTGACCTGACACACAACTAGTGACCTGACACACAACTGGTGACCTGACACACAACTAGTGACCTGACACACAACTGGTGACCTGACACACAACTAGTGACCTGACACACAAATAGCGTCCTCAAATACAAATAGTGAACACACATACAAGTACACATTAACCACAGTAAAACAGAGTCCATGCCTGTAGAGATAAACCCTATGTTCATAAGGTACACACATACCCACACACAATCTAGGTCATACAACACAAATCTATGTCACAGGTAAACTCTGCTCTAATTCTCAGACACCTCCTGTACCAGACTTACCCCCCCACCCCCCACTCAGGTAACCCAGCACACCTGTAGTGTTGAGTACTGGGGCGTATCTAGGTGAGGACAGCTGAACCGTGACTGGCAACACTCAATGTTTGCTTAGTGCGACACCAGTAGTGACAGCATTATTGGCTGACACTGACAGTGTCACTGTGTCACTGGCTGACAGTGACAGTGTCACTAGTTGACTGTGACAGTGTCACTAGCTGACTGTGACAGTGTCACTAGCTGACTGTGACAGTGTCACTAGTTGACTGTGACAGTGTCACTAGCTGACTGACAGGGTCACTGGCTGACTTACAGTGTCACTAGCTGACTGTGACAGTGTCACTAGCTGACTGTGACAGTGTCACTAGCTGACTGACAGTGTCACTAGCTGACTGAGACAGTGTCACTAGCTGACTGTGACAGTGTCACTAGCTGACTGTGACAGTGTCACTAGCTGACTGTGACAGTGTCACTGGCTGACTGTGACAGTGTCACTAGCTGACTGTGACAGGGTCACTGGCTGACTGTGACAGTGTCACTAGCTGACTGACAGGGTCACTGGCTGACTGTGACAGTGTCACTAGCTGACTGTGACAGTGTCACTAGCTGACTGTGACAGTGTCACTAGTTGACTGACAGTGTCACTAGCTGACTGACAGAGCACTGGCTGACTTACAGTGTCACTAGTTGACTGTGACAGTGTCACTAGCTGACTGTGACAGTGTCACTAGTTGACTGTGACAGTGTCACTAGCTGACTGACAGGGTCACTGGCTGACTGTGACAGTGTCACTAGCTGACTGTGACAGTGTCACTAGCTGACTTACAGTGTCACTAGCTGACTGTAAAAGCGTCACATTAAGTGACAACCACTGACGCAGACCGCAGTATTGGATTAGAGGCCTAAAAAAATTCCCCTTTTGGTAAGATCAGTCAAGTCATGATGGGCTTCGAGACAAACTCCACGTATTAAGAAGCCCCTAAATATTGCGGTAAAAGGGCTTATTAAGTAGCCTTGTAAGCTTATGTTCTCAGAGCTGGGCTAAGGAAACAATCATTTGTAGAGCCCCCTCCCCACCAATTGAGCGATGAAGTAAATTAAGCCCATATGAATGTCATATAATTAGTAATCGCATACTGATGTACAGATTTTACGATGTATTGCCTCGGCTGACTTCTTGACACGTTTTTGAAATAGTCGGACGAAAGGGGGAGGGTATTGTGTGTGGGGGGGGGGGGGGGGAGGGTTAACCCCCACCGTTAATAAGCGTTCCGTCACTCACTCCACCCCGTGGGGTTTAATCCCTCCCACCCCTTAGGTGTTCTGAGCCCCCCCCCCCCCCCATGACAATCGTAAGTAATACGCCTTGTTGGATGTGGATGTTTTTCTTTGAGTTTAAAAAAACAACAACGTCGTACTGCTAGCAGCAGACGTCAACAAGGAATCAAAAACACATCTGCTCTCATTATCGCTAACCGAAGCTCTCCCCACCCCTCCCCCACCTCTCCATTCGAACAAATTTAGCTGTTTTCAATCAGATTCGTTGAAGACAAACCACCGTAAACAAGATAATCTAATCACGTGACCCAGCATAACGGTTTAAAAAAAATAAAACAACTAGGGGTAAGAGATAAATGTCATACACACACCTCCATGATTTAGGAGAGCACACACTAGGGCCTAATCCCATAAGAGATAAATGTCATACACACACCTCCATGAGTTAGGAGAGCACACACTAGAGCCTAATCCCACCTCCCCTATCGATACTGCCACGCATTTCTACACAGAGACGTTTTCTTTTAGTCAGCGTTACATGAAGCTTATTGTTCGTCTGTGCCTGAGATTGTTAACTGATACACAACACTATTCACAATTACGATAACATGTACAGGCATTGTTTTTTAACACTTTAAAAGTACCCCCCCCCCCCCGCACATGCGCGCGGGGTCACCAGAGTTTTAGAGTACATACACACAAAAAATACCACTTTAATGTGTATCCCTCATGTAAACTAACATGTGTAAAAGACATACGAAGAAACATCACTAGACCATTATAGACAGAGTTTACCACTTGTTTAAGAGAATAGATAAGTCAGCGAGTGATGACACGAGTGGAACACACGACACGCGTCTCATTGGAACACATGTAAACAAATCGCACGCTTCTCCGTATATCATATAAACGAACAGCACCTGTCTACATGTAACATGTAAACAAACTGCACGCGTCTCCATACAACACATGTAAACAGCACGCGTCTACCGACAACACATGTAAACAAACCGCACACTTCTACAGACAGCACATGTAAACAAACATCACGCGTCTACCGACAACACATGTAAACAAACCGCACACTTCTACCGACGGCACATGTACACATCACGCGTCTCCATACAACACATGTAAACAAACTGCACGCGTCTCCATACAACACATATAAACAAACCGCACACTTCTACAGACAGCATATGTACACATCACGCGTCTCCATACAACACATGTAAACAAACCGCACGCTTCTCCGTATATCATAAACGAACAGCACCTTTCTCCATGTAACATGTAAACAAACGGCACGCGTCTCCATACAACACATGTAAACAGCACGCGTCTCCATACAACACATGTAAACAACACGCGTCTACCGACAACACATGTAAACAGCACGCGTCTACCGACAACACATGTAAACAACACGCGTCTACCGACAACACATGCAAACAACACGCGTCTACCGACAACACATGTAAACAACACGCGTCCACCGACAACACATGTAAACAGCACGCGTCCACCGACAACACATGTAAACAGCACGCGTCTACCAACAACACATGTAAACAACACAGGCATGCAGATCGAGCTGACGCGGTCAATACATGACCTAGATAAGTTGTCACGGGGG